ACTAACTAAATAACGACTACTAACTAACTACCTCCTCCTCCTACCTTACTATATATACTAGTTAGTAACTAACTACCACTACGTAGGAGACAATATACTCTCCTCTCTCTCTCTCTCTCTCTCTCTCTCTCTCTCTCTCTCTTTGTCTAGGCAAGTCTTCTACCAATTGAGAGCAAAACTCCAAGATTTCAAAAATACGTATTAGCAAAATAAAAAGAAAAACCCTTATAAATATCGATTTAGTTATCCAATATCCTAATCATTCTTTCGCTCAAACAAATGGATAAGTGTAGGCAGTTTGGGCATCTATTGTCCGAACTTTTCTTTTAATCCTGAAAAAGCTCAGTTGTCTGATCAGACGGTTGGGAGTATGTATTGTTTTATTTTAGTTTCATTTTTTTAAATCAGATTAAGATCAATATTTGGGCTTACATATTTCTCACCAACACGCACCTATAAAATACACATAAAAAATAATCAATGTTTTAGAGGTATTTTTGTTTTTTTATTTTTAAAATATTTATTTTGTATTTTGTAAGAAAAAAGTTTATATATGGATGCAATCTTATAATATAGAACTACGGATGCACCTCAAAAATCTATCGGAAAAGGTACTACTTTTAATGTTATAAAACCCTTTGATTGATCATCTCGACATTGAGATGTATGACCGTGACAAAAAAAAGATTTTAAGTCTAAAATATAGTGTATTTTACAACATATTATCTACACCATCCATTTTCAAGATTTTCACATGTTCATAGATCTACTTGATTTTAATCATTTTTAAATTTTAAATTTTATAATTAGATATAAAAATAGATTTTGATATAATTCTAAGAACATTTTGCATCTGTATGCCACCTGCACCCTTTTAATATTGATAAACATATAATCTCAAAATTTGAGCTTAGCCTGCTATACAAATATTAAATTAAAAGACGATATATGCACTTGACCATCCAATCTGGATCGGATAATTGATATTTTTTTGAGTGAAATACACGGTTCGGATGTCCAATGTCTAAATTGCCCTTTTGGACTAAAAAGAGATATATGTTAGCAGTTTGGACATCGGATGTCTTCACCCCATACTATGATTTTTTGTTTTTTGTTTTTTGGAGAAATTTACGTAAAAATCCAAAATAATTTACACAATTAAAAAATAATCCATATTTGAGTCGTTTATTGTTAAGAAAAAATTACAACCAGGCATTCGAATTGCTGACCCAAATTTTAATTAAAAAAAGCGAAGGAAAATTTATCAAACTACTTACAAGCGATGCAGTATTGAACATTTTGCCAAAGGTTATTCTACTCTAGTGGGAGTAGAGTAGAATGTCCATTTACTTCCGCGGGTAGAACCCCACTTAGAATTAATTTCAGTACTCCAAATTTTGGAGATGTAACCTCATAAATCCGTAGATTAACCGCAATAAAAGAGCTCTTAATTAATATGAACTTGAAAAAATAATATATGGAGATTGAATTTTTAGATGGTAAGATCAAACTGTTAAAAAACTCAAATTTCAATTTTATCTTTTTGAAAATAATCATCTAATAAGTGGTTCCTAAGATTTCAAAATGGGAAAATCCTCCTAAGAAGTCGTTTTCCTGAGGGCATAGAAGTAAACTATACTCATGAGGGAGCATAGTATACATACTCTTTAACATTTTATACATTTGTAACTATTCCAATACGCATTGGTGGGGAATTTTGTAATTAGGGTAAAATGTTAAATAGTTAGTTCCTACTACTGTACTGATTTCAAAAGAAAAATCAATTAGAGATTTGAACTCCTGAAATGGGGATAAAATGAAAAGAAAAGAAAACTCAAAATTGTAAATTTCACTTTACAATCTTCCAAAATATTGATATTCTTAATTAATAAATATTTTAAGTCTCTACATAGATTTATGAATTTTTTTTAAGGAAAAGTTTATATAAGGTTGCAAGTTTAAAATGTAGAATTACAGATGCCCCTCAAAAATCTATTGGAAAGGTTGTTTTAATGTTGAAAAACCCTCTACTTGATCGTCTTGACATCGAGATGTATGGATATAAAAAAAAAAAAAGTTTTTTAGTCTTAGAAATAGTGCATCTTGCAACACATTATCTAGGCCATCCATTTTCAAGATTTTTATATATTTATAGATCTCCTTGATTTTAACTATTTTTGGAGGTTAAAATTTTCTCATTAGAGATGAAAATAGATTTTAAGATAATCCTAAAAATTTTTTACAACAAAATTACATGTTATGATAAAATTTGGAAGTACACTTTAATTGGATTGTTTAAAGTTGCAACCTTATAGAAACCACACCTTTCTTTTTAATGATATTCACTTTAGCTTTAAATATCCAAACTGCCCTTCTTAACAAAAAAAAAAAAAAAGAAAAAAAGAAAAGAAAAGAAAAGAAAAGAAAAGAAAAGAAAAGAAGGGTTCGAATATCCAAAAGACTGAACCGTTTTCTAACTCAAAGAGAAAATGCGAGTATTTTGGAAAATGGATGCAAAGGTAAAGAAATTTTTTTTTTTATCAAAATAAATAATGTCATGAATTATTTAACACTTTACTCATTTGCCACTATTTAAACTTAAGATCATGTATTTTTCTCATGGGTATTTTGAAATTAAAACAAAAAAAAAATGTAAGGTATTAAATTATTTATCCCTTACAGAAAAAAGTAGAGAATGAGACCATTTACCTTTGATACATGAGGGTCACATTAATTTTGACCATTATATGTGAAATTGGACAGCTGCAATTATTCTATTGACCAAGCTCAAACTTTAAACAAGCTATCAAAGTTTGTTGTAAGGAATTGTGACCACGGTGTATAAAAGGTAAATGGTCTCATTGCATACAATACCTATGTGTAATATAATAAATTTTTTTAAAAAATAAGGAAAAAGTTTACATAAAAATTCAACCTTATAATGTAGAACTATGGATGCACGTCAAAAATCCATCGCAAAAAGTAGTTTTAATGTTGAAAGGCCGTTTGATTGATCGTTTCGACATCGATGTATGACCATGAAAAATAAAAAGATTTTAAGTCTCAGAAATAATACATTTTACAACATATTATTTACACCGTCCATTTTCAAGATTTTTATATGTTTATAGATCTACTTGATTTTAATCATTTTTGAAATTAAAAATTTTACAATTAGATATAAAAATAGATTTTGAGATAATCCTAAAAACATTTTACATCAAAATTATATACCACGAAAAAATTTGAAGGTGGTGACCTTACATCTAAAGCAACGGATGCATCCGTTGCAAAAAATTAATAAAATACTCCTTAAATGGACACGCTCCTTCGGGAGCATGAAATCTTTCGGAAAAAATGTAAATCTCTCTCTTGAGGCACGCACGCTCTCTCTCTCTCTCTTCCTGGGACAAAGGTTAACATCTCTCTCTCTAAAGCTCGCGCGCTTTCAGTGATGGCTGACCATCCCCGTCTCTTTCTCCCTGGTTTCATGTCCACCCAGTTATGCGAGGTACTCTTCCTCTCTCTCTCTGAATGCTTTTCCTTCTTAAAAATAAGGCATTATCCCTCCTCAAAGTATAGAATTATTTTAATTATACAGCAAAATTCATCTCTCATCTCTCTCTAGACCTTCCCTTTTGAAAACTAGGGCATTCTATCTGCTTATAGTACTTTCCTTTTGTTAATTACTTCAATTATGCAGTGAAATTCATCTCTTTCTCTGTCAACTCCCCGAAGGTCCATTCTTATTTTCAGAGAAAAATCTTATTCCTGTTTTCACTTTTAAGCTCTCTCAGAACCTACCTCCTAATCTCTGAAGAGAAAAACAACATATATATTCCATCTCTCTCTCACTCACTCTATCTCTCTCTCTCTCTCTCTCTCTCTCTCTCTCTCTCTCTCTCTCTCTCTCTCTCTCTCTCTCTCTCTCTCTCTCTCTCTCTCTCTCTCTCTCTCTCTCTCTCTCTCTCTCTCTCTCTCTCTCTCTCTCTCTCTCTCTCTCTCTCTCTCTCTCTCTCTCTCTCTCTCTCTACTACTACTACTACTACTACTACTACTACTACTACTACTACTACTACTACTACTACTACTACTACTAC